AAAGAAAAGAGTAACGCATTACCCTGGCTGGCTTAAATTCAGAATGTTTGGTTTTTGCCAAAGACCTGTTTTGGGTGGGAGTTGAAGGCCCAGAGGAGATGTATGGAGTAGGTAGGTGGTGGTGGGGGCTGACACAGGATGGACATGGCCTAAGGATGAATTGAGATGGCTACCAACAGCATTTCCCCAACAGGGAGGGGAAAAAAGCACAGTAGTATATACCCTATGGGGGCATGTGAGCTGAGGTGGGCTTGAGATCTGGGATTAAGATATCTAGCATTGACATTGGCACCAGTCACTTGTTAATGAAAGGGTCGTATGTTCCTTTTGCCAGAGATAAGGAAAATCACTGCTTTAGGAAGCAGAAACACTGCTTCCCACAATGGAGACCCTTATCCAAATGACTGACCTTGGGAAAAGGACTTCTTCTGGGGACCAGACACTGTTCTACAAATTTTTAATCTTGCTATGTGGGCTTGCTCCCCTCATAACGCTCCCAAAAGGGACGATCCTGCTATCTTCCTCTTTTCCCATCATACCGTGCCATAGTAAGTTCTCTATACTTACTAACTGAACTCTTGCTCTTCATGGGCTCTGGATCTGGACTGTAGGCATTTTATCCTTGGGATCAGCTTTGTCTGGTAAATCTCTAACATTGCTATTCTTGGTGAAATTAATTAGGAGGGCACAATGGAATTCTTGGTAAGTATTATTTTGTTTATAGAGAGGTTACCATTGTACATATTTTTATCCTTTACTAAAGCCTGCACAAAATTTCCTAAAGGGAAATGCATTAATATTGAGAATCATTGAAAATGAAAGTAGAGCCACGCGGTAGTGGCCACACCTTTAACGGGAGACAGGTAGGAGGATCTCTGTGAGGTCAAAGCCAGCCTGGTCTACAAAAGCTACTTTCAGGACAGCTAGGGCTGTCACACAAGAGAAACCCTGTCTCAACCTCCCCCCCCCTCCCGCCCCAAAAGAAAGTGAAAGTAAAAGATGCGGAGAAGGGTGGTCTGCAATGTGGAAATTCTGGAACTTTGCCCAGCAGCAGTGGTCACCGTGCAGTCCACGCCATTTCTTGTTCAATATAATATATACACATTGCCATGAAGGTTTGCTGCAAGCAAGCATGAGCTTTTCCATTTGAAAGTAGCACTGATGAGATCAAAGGCGAGTCTGAAGTCGTAGTGCATTGTGATTGGAAGCTGTGTAAGGAAAGTCCTGACTCCAATCCCAGCAATACCAATAGAAAAGAAAAAGAAAGAAGAAAATGAACCCAATCCACTTCCATAATTTAGTAACATTAGGCCCCAGTCTGGGGCCAAAGGTAGATACCAGTTCTTGTGATCAGACTGTACCCATGACTACCCATTGGGCTACCAGATACTGTCCCCTTAGCCCAGTCTTCCTGTGGGGCTCTTCCCACCCTTGTCCTGGTGATCCAGCCTTCCTACTGAGCTCCTGCCTAGGAGGGCTGTGGGAATGCAGCAAGTGTGCCTGCTGCCCTCTGCTGGTGTGTGCGCGCTTGCACGTGTGCATTTGTGTGTGTGTGTGTGTGTGTGCTGCCTTCTTTGCTGTTCTGTACTCTATACTCACAACCACCCCTGCTTCCCTCTAGATTCTTCTTCTGATTGACATTGAGCAGTCCTACATCAACACGAACCATGAAGACTTCATTGGATTTGCCAAGTATGTACTTACACAGCCAGTGACACAGGGGCAGCACTAGAGTGTCTGTCCAGCTGGTGGGAATGCTGGGCCAAGTGCAGAGTCATTTGAGAATGTCTTAAAACTTTTGGGGGCTAATCATGACTTTTGTCACAGTGTCTTCACCCAGCAGTCTACCTGTGGATATCTCAGGGTCAACGTGGGGGTTCTATGCTCATGCTTAGGGAAGGGGGTAGCCAGCCAGGTTCACACCCCTGCAAGACTTCTCAGAACCTTTCATTGGCCAATACACACCCAACTCCTGGCCTTTCCATATTCAGAGCACCTCACACACTCTGCTTTCCACATACGTACTGTAGATTTAAAACCAGAACCTTGGGCTGGGAATTTGTCTCCATTGTTAGCACACTTGCCTAGCATGCACACGGCCATGGGATAGACCACATAACCAGGCGTGGTATCTGGCGTATTGACCCTGGGTCAGCCATTACCACTGGACCAGCTGGCAGACTTGAGTGCCACTGGGGGTGTTCTGGTGGGTCATGCGGCTTCTCTTCACTGTGGTTAATAAGACACCAGCACACAACAAAGACCATCTCGCTTGTGTCTGTCTACTAGTGTACTTTCACTCCAGGCCCAGCCAGGTCCTCCTGCCTGCCCACAGGAATTTCCTGTGCAGACACAGACAAGGACAGTATGTTCAGGACTCCTGGAAGTCCAGAGGGTCTTCCTGGGGGGGGGGGGGGCTGTGGGGCCTGACTTTAGGGTTCTGGAGACCTCTTGACAAAGGAGAGCCTTCTAGGTTGGTGCTCCAGGCAGAGTTGATGAAACATCTGTTGTGGGCCAGGCACAGGGCAGCTGAGGGAAGTGAGTGAAGGAATGACGTATAGCCCAGGGCCCTAGCTGGGCCATTTCTTCCCTGGTGTGGGTTGCACCATGTGCTGGGGGTGCAGCCTCTTTAAATCTTGTTCTCCCAGCTGTGCATGGACAGCAAGTGCCCCACTGATTGGTTGCTGCCGGTTTCCTCACCTCAATGTCTCTGCTTCTCACACTTCATCCACAGTTCCTTCTCACAATCTCTCCTGTTTTTCCTTTGACCTCTTCACTTCTTTCTCTGGATTCCGGGGCCTTCCCACTTACCCAGCTGTTACTATACTGAGGAGCTGGTCACAGGGTGGGTATTGCCTGCTGTGTGCCTCTTTCCCTGGTGTGTGACCTGGGGTGCACTCCCTGGGAGGCCTCAAGCTTGTTGGGGATGTTCCAGGAGCCCCTGGATTACAGCAGAGCTACTCTTTGAGCTAAGGCCCCACCCAGGTCTGTGGAATGGACAGTGGGTAAGACCCCAAAATGGCTGTCCCTATAGGGCACACAGATTAGGGAGTGAGTGGGTGGTTGAGGATAGCAACAAAAAGCCTGAGGGACCTGGAGAGACCCTTCCGAGGAAGTAGGCTGAGGAGAAGAATTTAGATTACTTGCCATGGTACCCGAAGTCTCTGATTAGGGCCAGGGAAAGGTGTCACCGTCTCTGCTGCTGTTTAAGGGAGCCACAATACAATTCAGATACGTTACATCAGGGTCCTTGTCATCACACAGTCTTGCTGTGAGTGATGACTTACTTATTCCTTTGTGTGAGATGTCCCACCTCCTTCCTTTGTTTCACGTCCTAGACCCCAGAAGAAAAGCCCTGAGGGCTGCTAACGTGGCCTGCTTGGTAGAGCACTTGGTAGAGTGTGCGGCCAGTCCAGCACCAGATCAAAGGGACACGATAGCACACACCTATCATCCCACCCAAGAGACAGGGTGATCAGCTCAGAGTCACCTTTGCTATATATCTGAGTTAGAAGCCAGCCAGGACTATAAGAGACCTTCCCTTAAAAAAAATTAAAAAATTAGGGCCAATAAGATGGCTTAGCAGATAAAAGTGCGTGGTGTACAAACCACGTGACTAGTTAGAGCTCCACATTCACAATGGCGTGTCTCCCAAAAAAATTACGAAAAGTTTTAAAATAAAACAAGTCCTGGGGTGATAGTGTTAGGATGAGCACTGGGTGGGATTCTACATCAGTTCTTAGTTTTCCAGTCCTTAACAATCTAGAATAAGGAGCCCATCTCCTTCAAATGCACTCACCCTGACCCCATTAGGTAACCCTGGCTAGGCTCAGATTCGTGCTCTGCCCACCTTAGCTTCCCACTTGCTGGGGTTGCTAGCCTGCACTCCCTTAACTGCCACTTGAGACTCAGCTGGCCTGCACTGTTGGCAGTCTCAGAGCAGCCAGCGGGGAGTGAAGCAAGCCGTGTTGCTGTTGGTATCTTCTGCAGTCTTACAACTAGAGCTGTAAGATGAGGCTGGAGACAGGGCACAGTGGTCAAGAGCACTGGCTGCTTCTACAGAGGACCTGGGCTCTTTTCAGAGCCCACTTCAGGTGGCTCACAACCACCTGCAACCTCAGCTCCAGGGGATCCAATCAATGCCTCTGGCTTCTGCCTCCAGGGGCACCTGCACATATGTGGTACACACACACACACACACACACACACACACACACACACATATCTTTGGGGGAGTTATTTTTGTTGTTTGTTTTTCAAGACAGTGTTTTTCTGTGTAACAGTCCTGGAACTCACTCTGTAGACCAGGCTATCCTTGAACTCACAGAGAACCACCAGTCTCTGCCTCCTGAGTGCTGGGATTAAAGGTGTGTGCCATCTCTGCCCAGGATCTTTATTCTTTTTCTTTCTTTCTTTTTTTTTTTGTTTGTTTGTTTGTTTGTTTTTTGTTTTTTGGAAAATACAACAGAGAAGTGACAGGACACAGTTGTTCTCAGGTGGTTATACAATGTTAGAGCAGTGCATAAATGAAAGCCAGTGTGGAGAGGGAACTAAAATAGCCTGCCTAGAGGGACCGAGTGCAGAGTGCTTACCTGACATACACAAAGACCTGTGTTCCATCCCCTGCCCCTCATAAACAGGTATAGAGGCACTAGATTGGTAAAGGCAAGAGGATCAGGAGTCAAGGTCATCCTAGGCTATGTGTGGGGTTTGAGGCCAGCCTGGGCTACTCGAGGCCCTATCTCAAGACAAATCATAAGCCTGATATTGCACAATCCCAGCACTTGAGAAGCTGAGGCAGGCAGATCTCAATCAGTTACTGGCCAACCTGGTCTACATAGTGAGATTCAGGACAGCCAGGGTTACTTAGTGAGACCCTGTAAGGGGGGGCCGAGGAAGAGAGAGGAAAAGGGAGCTAGAATTGCTGCGGATCCGTGAGGGAGCGCTCGCCCAGCTTATATGAGGTCTTGCATTTGGTCTGCTGTAATCCCCTTTAAAAAGTGAGGGTGGAGAGTGTGACTATTGATGAGAAAACATGCAGAGACCTCTTCTACGTCTCTGGCTTGAGTCAGGCTCTTCTAGCCAGCCTCGTTGGCCAGTGTGAACCCCAGAGTCAGGGTTTATCATGAGAGCCATTTCTAGACTGATGTAGACTTGGGTGGGAAGAGAACGTGGTATGTTGTACTCAGGTTCCCCTGGAGCCAGCTCCCTGTCCCATTTCCCCTGCATCTTACACCTTCTCTTTGAAGCTTTAACTTCCCAGTGACTTGTGGGAAATAGCTGGTGCTTCTAGAGTGGCCGTGAGAAGGTTCTAGAAGCTAGGGTTAGGCAAATACATTATTCTTGTTTCATGTACTCTATGTGTCCTCTGCATATAGGGGCCACATCCTTGCCTCTAGCTTTAGTGGGTCAGTGTGCTTCTAGGGAAAACACCCCAGCCTGGGCTACTGGGGTCTCTGTTTGCCTCCTCCCGCATCTCATCCGAACATGCCTTCTGTTTCTGTTACAGTGCCCAGCAGAGGAGCACACAGCTGAACAAGAAGAGGGCCATACCCAATCAGGTAGCTCCCCTGCCTCAGCCGTCATTCCCTTCTGGGGATAGAAACACACTGAACCCCCATCATAGCACTTGATACGGGAACTGACACTTGAGTGGCCACTCACTCTGTCAGCCTCTGGTCCACATAGCTGTTAGGGCTATGGCTCCCACAGGGCTTAGAGACCAAATTCCAGCACCCAGAGGCTTCATCTGACATCTAAGGTAAAAGTTAGAGTTGACCCTCAAAGTAGGAGAATGTGTAGCAATCACCCCGAGGAGTAAGCAAGCAGATTGTGTTTCCTAACTCTTGGCCCCAGGAACGAATCAGGTAGGTAGAAGACGTGGAACATGCCACAGGCAGCTCAGGAAAGATGGAGGTGGTTTGATCCATACCTGGAAACCCCCAAGTTTCCTTTATATCTTACCCCAGCTTTAGAGGCCTTGTATATTTATGAATGGCTTCATAAATACCAGTATTATATGTCTGGTTGGGCTTTTTCTATCCAGTTTCTGCTACTGTCCCCCAACCCCCTTCCCATGTCAGGCTGGAGTGAGGGTGGGGTGCTGTGCTGTTGTATCTTGCACGATTTAGAGCGAGATTTGGGAGAAATATAACAATTGCATGATTTTGAATTTTCTTTTTTTTTTTTGCGCTTGCCATAGGTAGTACATATGTTGTTGCTTTTTTGTTTTGAAGAAGATAATGAATTAAATATTAACACCATGAATATAATTAATAGCATGTCATTTTTTTTCTTTTGCTGTTTTTTGTTCCTCTGCTCTTCTTTCTCCTGTCATTGTGCTTTTTCCGCTCTTTCTTTGTCCCTTCACGTCCCTTCCATCTCTCTTCTTCCTATTCTTTCTTGATTGACCCACAACCCTAACTTTACATTCTCAAAGGGGGAGATCTTGGTAAGTACCTGCTTAGTGTGGTAGCTAACTTAGAGAATCTAGTAGCAAAGGAGGTCCACCCTTCACCTTCTACTCAAACAACTAAAAAATGAACTAACCGGGGAGCCACATGTCACTGCTGTCACTGGACCTCTTGTCCTGGGTATCTTTTGCTCTCACAAAAATACTAACCAATTGCTTTCTGGGAGGCACACTTCTCTGGCTGGTTCCTACAGGTTCTCCTGGTGTCCATAGTTGAGAGATGGCAAATACGCAGTTCACATATAGCCTCCATCCCCCCTCAGCTTCCTAACCATGGAAGATTTTGCTCAGATCCTGCTGGAATTCATTCTTGCCGCTGCCCACCCTTATCCTTTCTGCCTTCTGTGCAGACATCACTGACTGACCAGAGCCTGTGTTATTACCACATGTGGAGATTTGCCCTTTCTGTGCCTATGGCAGACGTGACTAAGTGATCCAACACTTCTTCCTGTGATTTTCCTCCACAGTGAGCCTGGTGCAGACATTGCTAATCAGTCCTGGCATTCTTTCTTAATATGCATACCATCAACTCCCCATTCTCTAGCTGTTGTGACTGATTGTTGTAATTTTTTAATTTCTCCATGTGCTATCCTACTCCTTGTACCCATGACGAGCATAAATAGTTAGATTACCTCTAGCCTACTGCCTCTGTGGCAGATAGGATGATCCATGTGGATGTTCAGTTCCACTCTCCCCCTGTTCTTCTCCATTGCCTGGGACAGACATCACTAATTAATCCCAGTACGTTGTTGCTGTGCTCCTGGGCAGCTCCCATCAGTCAGTTGGTGCATATTGTATTTGCCATCTTAACTGTGGGTAACTTCTTCCCTTTGCACAAGGGCTGGGAGCTGGGGGTGTCAGAAGGGTGCGAGGCCCAGCTCTGTTGAGAGCTGATTCTAGGTGGAGGTACTCCCTGCGAGCAGCTTGGCCTCTAGCCCTGGCAGGCTCCTTTCTCCAGAATATTTTCCTGCTGCTACCGCTGCCCTCTGCAAAGATATTTCTGGGGTTTGGAGCCTTTGTAAAGGTTGAGCCAATTCTGTGCCAGTGGTGGGTCCTTGATGGGCCTGGGTCCTGGCAAAAGCAGGCTGGGTCAAGGTTGAAGCCTGGGCCAGTGTTAGAGAAGAGGGGCCAGGGACTAGGTCATTCTCAGGCCATGAGTAAATCAGTCAAGTACTGCTTTTCCCCTCTAGCCCAGATAGCCATTGTTCCTACCTAATTCCATTCTTCTGGCCACAAAGCCATGTGCAGTCACAGCCTCTGGGTACCCAAGCCATACTTGGTCTTCCAGGTGATCTTCACCCAGGGAGGAAACCATCATGGCTCCTGCTGAGCTCACCTTGTTTTCCAAGCCACCAGGATGGGCCCTCTCTCTTCTGTGTGCCTGCATACCTATCATTGTGTACCCCAGAAATGGGAGCCTTAGTTGCTTCTCCTGTTGCCACACCTCTCCCCTGCTTCTTTATCATCCTAAGACCTTGGGTAGCACTATTATATTACCTGGGTTCCCAGTTTGCCTTGGAGATAAGGAGGCACAGCCTTCTCTGTTTCCTGGGGTCAGTCTGTATCTACTCATAGGGCAGAGTTTTGTCTCAGACTGCATGGGGGTGTTCCCACGGGCAGGGGCCTGGAAGGGAAGGGTGTCTTGGGACCTATTGTCAGCCCATGTGCCCTGAAGCCCAGTCAGCCCCTCTGACTGCTCTTACCCTTAGTGGAGGCAGCTGGGCCAGACCTCCAAGGGACGATGGCACACCTGATGATGTGTACAGAGACCCTACCACATGAGATTGCTCTTCTTGGGGTATGGTGGCAGCTTGAGCCCAGTTTCTTTCCCTTAACATGTGGAGACTGAGGCTAAGCCCAGGGAGCTCTTGTCTAAGTGAAAGGGCCTCTACCATGCTGGCAGGACAGAACACAGCTGTAGGTCGCCAGCCTAGGTGGTCTGGGGTCAAGGGTTTTTGTGGAATGCTGAACCTTCAGAGCTGAGCCCAGGGCATTCTGGTATGAATCAGTATGAGGCAGTCACTCTTGTTCCTAGCATGGACATCGAGCCCTCCCTGGGCCTCCAGGCAACTCTAGGAGTCTGAGGTCTTCTGACCTCCCAGGGAGAATGAGGGATGCCAAGTGGCAGCTTATGCTGTTCCCAACCCGAGAAGGGACTTCAGTGGTTTACAGGGGTCCCTGAAACTTTACTGACCGCTATAGCTTTCATGGTCTGCAACTTGGAGCCCGCATGTACCCACTGTAGCAGAGTAGGTGCACACAGGCCCTGTTTAGGTGTGGCGGCTTTGGAGGCCAACAGGATAAGGAAGGGGAAGCCTCAACTCCAGGCCCCAGACTGTTTTAGGTTCTCCTACTCCATCCTACCTGGGATCCCTGACATCAGCCTCCCCAACTACCCATGGCTATGCACAGCACATGCTCTGCTGCCTCAGTCCCATGCATCTCTGTTGCCACCTCTGCATGCTTCCGGCTGTCCCCCAGAATCCCCAGGTCGGGAGGTGGGGGGCTCAGGCCTACATGTGCCTCCATGTCCCAGGGATCACAGGAACATGAAAACATGACCCCCCCAGTCTGCCTGTGCCTAGTAGTCAGGTGAGTCCCCAGGCTGGCCTGGCTTCTGTTCCCCATCCAGATGACAGATAAGGCCCAATGAGCCCTTTCCATGGAAGGTCTCCCAGCCCAGACCCCTGGGTTGTCATGCATTGAAAAGTACACTCGCTATGCTTGAAGTTAGCTGGGACATGGTCCCAGTCTGCTGACCCTTTCAGGGTCCCTAGAAATAGTCCCTAGCACTGGTCACCTGCACACGGAAGAGCTTGTGGGAGGGTGCCACCTCTGTGGATCAACCCCAGGAAGTGCCAGCCATCGCGTGGTATGGGTTCTCCATCAAGGCATCTCTGCTTACTTTGTCTGACCCAAGGAAGTGCAGTTCTTAATATCCACTGCTTATGACCTAGTCCCAGCCCCCTGGCCTAAGGCCCTTGCCATTCCTAGGATGTCCATTTCGTTTTGCATGCCATTCAAATCACTCTAACCACAGAGGGCCTTCTAGGTCCCAGCTCGCAATTTTATCCCTGGGCTAGTGATTTGCTTTCTATTTGTCTGTATCTCCATCCATCCCCACCCCTGTCCCAGCTGCCTGTCTGATTCCCAGCTGGGATTGCATGGGTTGATTAGGAGCTAGGATCTGGCTTGGGGCTGGAGGTAACCCTGCCACAGAACCAGGCTTCCATCCATTCTGGGGAGGGGCATGGGGTGGACGAGGCAACAAGGCTGTCCTCCCTGCTAAGATGAGTTCTTCCCACCAGGTGATCCGCAGGGGCTGGCTGACCATCAACAATATCAGCTTGATGAAGGGCGGCTCCAAGGAGTACTGGTTTGTGCTGACAGCTGAGTCCCTGTCTTGGTACAAGGATGAGGAGGTGAGCAGTTGGGGACAAGGGTGGCCTGCTAAGGTGAGAGAAGGAGGTGATTCCAAAACCAATTCCCTTTGCCAGCACTCATTTGTTCCTTCAGTCACTTGAGAAAGAGAGTTTACAGTCAGGCATGGTAACATGCTGAAATCTCCACACTGAGAAGGAGTACAGGCAGCCTAGGATATGTGGTAACTTCCAGACCTGTCCAGGTTACATAGGAAGAGTCTGTCTCAAGGCCCAGGAGCAGACAGTTTAGTGGGGAAAGTACTTGTCCTGCCACAGAAGACCTGACTGCAATCCCAGAACCTATGCAGTGTGTGCTCATAGTCTCAACAGGTAAGGCAGACACATGGCCTGCTGGCACATTCCAGGCAAATGAGAGGCCTATCTCAAAAAGCCAGAGGGTAGCACCTGAGAAATGATACCTGAAGTGGTTGTCTGGCTTCCATATGCGCACATATGTGTGCCTACACATACAGATGTACATAGGACCTTCACAAAAGAGAAACAAAAGAGAAAAATCGGATGAGGGCTATAGCTCAGTCAGTAGAATCCCTGCTTAGCACACATGAAACCTTGGGTTCCATCCTCACTCAGCATCACATGAACCAGACGTGGTGGTCGTGTCTCTGATGCCAACACTCAGGATCAAGAGTTCCCGGCCCCATCCTTCAGTACTAATTCAAGGGTAGCCTTGTTTCCCTGAAACTTTACCATGCATACATTTCTCTATGAAGGGTGGACCCTACCCTGAGTTCTCTGCCACTGTTAAGGGAGCTGAGGGGAGATCTAGTCCCAGGTCTCGCACAGGGCCCTGCTCCCAGCATGCACTCCAGTGGTTTGTATCCGCAGTCACCTCTGTAGGGTCTTCTAGCCACCATATATATAGGAGGGACCCTTCACCATCAGTGTACCAAAGGGGTGCTGGGGCTTAAGCATGGTGGAGCTGCATGTGACAGACAGAAAACCTGTTCCTGTATATTTCATTGTCCCTTCTTAGAAGCTGGCCAGCTGGTGCCCTGGCCCCTGAAATGGTATAGGTACTGTCACTGGCAAGGCCAGACTTCTCTGGTCTTTTTTTTTTTTTTTTCCAAAAAAACAAAACAAAAAGAACACAGGCTGGATTTGAATTCACTATGTAGCTCAGGGTAACACTGTGGTCCTCCTGCCTCAACCTCCCTGTGCTGGGATGACAGGCATGCACCACCACATTGGGCTTATGAGGCAAGAATGGAGTTCAGAGCTTTGTATGTGTTAAGGAGACACTCTACCCACTGAGCCCCAGGCTTCTCTGGTTTTTGCTGTGAGGTTTGGGAGGACAAAGATGGAGGTGACCCACTCTGGAGACTTGTTGGAGTAGGTAGAACTGGGGCAGCCGGACAACTGAAAGGCAGGGGGAGTTTCAGCATGCACCTTTAAATCCTAGTACTCAGAAGGCAGAAGCAGAGGGGCTGCAGAGATGGCTGAGCAGCTACGAGCACCATCTGTTCTTATAGAGGATCAGGGTTCAATTCCTAGTACCCACATGGCCGCTCACAATAGTCTATAACTCCAGTTCTAGGGTACCTGACACCCTTATGTAGGCAAAACCTCAATGTACATAAATGGAATTTTTTTTAAAAAGGCAGAGGCAGGAGGATCTCTGTCAGTTAAAGGCTTACAGAGTTCCAGGACAACCAGGCCTATTACAAGAGAAACCTGTCTTGAAAAACAAACAGAAAAAAAAGATAGAAAGCTTGCATGCCCACAAGGCCTCACCCCGTGCCAGGCTCACAGATTAGGTAAGGCCACACAAAGCTACATGCAGAAGGCATGTTCCTCTATTTCTTTATAGACTTTAAATGTGTTACATTTATTTATGTGAGTGTATGTGCACAATCGAGACAGAGGACATGGAAGTCTGAAGGCAACTTCCAAGACTTGTGCTCTCTCTTACCAGTCAGACTCAGATGGGTAGCATTGGCTGCCAGCCCCTTTTCCCACTGAGCCATCTTACGGGTCCTCAAGTCCACCTTGGGATTGGCACTGCCATGGCTAGGTGAGGAAACTGAAACCTTGGAAGGTGGCTAGCCTCATGTTGCAGAATAAGGAAGGGTTCCTGTTGGGGGGGAGCTCTCTGAGGGACACCTCTGCCCTGAGTTCAGGCCATTCCCACACCCAAGACGGATGTGTTTATTCAGGGGTGTTTGACGATAATGCCTGGCTTCCCTTTTCCACATAAGGCCACAGGCTTACTTTTGGATGATTCTAGAACCTGAAGGACTTTATCAGTGAGCTACCATGAACATTTCTGGGGTATCTGAAGCCTCTAAAACTGCAGGCTCCTCCCATTGGCCACTGGTGTAGGTCCGGTTGCTCCTCAGTGGCTGACTGAGGTGCTGGGGTTTTACTTCCTCTTTTTTTTTTAACCTCCTCTTTTCTGTTTCTTAAGTTTTACATTTATTTATTTATTGTATGTGTGTGTATGCGGGTGTGCATGTGCCATAGTATACATACGTATGGAGGTCAGAGGACAACTTGTAGTGAGCAGTTGCTTCTTTCCACCATGTGGTCAGAGATCAGGCCCTGGTTATCAGGCTTGGTAACAAGCTGGTTTATCCACTGAGACACATTGTGGGCCCCAAGGGCTTTGGGGGGGTTGTTTTGCTTTGTTTTGGTTTTATGTTTGTTTGTTTATATTTTTACATCTTTATGTGTATGGGTGGTGGTCTGCGTGTCTGTCTGTCTGCCATGTGCATGCTCTGCCCTCAGAGGTGAGAGGAGGGCATAGGATCTTCTGGGACTTACTACAAAAGCTGTTGCTGTTTCATGGGTGCTGGGACTTGAACTTCTGAAAGAGCAGGCTGTGCTTCTAACTACCTATCTCTTCAACCTCCTTTTTCTGTTCTTAAAATTATTTCACTTATTGCTATAATTGGATTTATCCCTGTTCCTGTCTCTGCATCTGTGAGCTTGGTGATCCCTGCCTCAAAGACGTTCAGGGAGCCAGGCTGCACAGTGCTCCCTGGAGAGCCCAGTTGCGTGACCAGACCAGCTTTTCTATGTAGCTCATCAAACTGTCAGGGATTGTGCCCCCCAGGGTGAGGCACCCCAGTGTTGAGTTTCTGTGTTTTAGCTCCAGCACTCTAAAAAAAGTAACCTGACAGATGGGCAGACCAGGAGTATGTGTGTGGTTTTCCAGGGGCCTGTCATGGAGAGGCCATTGCAGAGGAGCCCTGGGCCTAACTGACAAGATGTATACTAAGAGCTTCTTCCCCTCGCTGGGAAGGACCGTGCACTCAAGCCTACTATAAACCAGTCCTGTGGCAGGGCCACAGCAACAACAGTGAAAAGGAGCCCTGTGTGTGCTGAAGATAAAACAAACTGGAATCCAAGGCCCTCAGCATCGCAGGTAGCAGCCATCTGTGAGAAGCAGACCACTTTGTAGACAAGCCTTCTGTAAAGACCAGATGGCATCTTTTCTTTATTTTAGGAATAAAGAAAACAAAAAACGGAGAATAGTGCCACTTGAAAAAGAAGCAAGGAGAAAGGCTCAGTTCAGCTGAGGACATCCCTCCCAGCCCAGGGCTCTCAATTCTGGGGCTACATTTCCCACCTCCTTCCTTCCAGAATCTTCCGTGGTGGACAGTGGCACAGATGGTGGTACTCACCTCGGGTGATCTGTTCCCACTGCTGCTGGCCCAAGCCCAGCCTAACCAATGTGCAGACTACTGTACATATCACAGCCTGCTGAACAGCTAGTCTGAACACTGGGATGGCAGGGATGGCAGTTCAGTGCAGGACAGGAGCCTTCACGTCTTCCGGGGTCCTCCATTCATCCTTGCACCTGGGCTCTTCTGACGTGGCAAGGCCAGGGTGACTGGCTCAGATCTAGAGAAAGTTGGGGTTTTCAGGAAATCTGAAGGCAGGCTGGAGGAGGGCTGGAGTCAATAGCCAACCCCACAGAAGGCGGTCCCTGTGCAGTTATGCAGTCTGAGCAGGCGCATGCTTTTGCATGTGCATGTGAGTGAGATGGCAGCCTCTTGATCCTGGGCGGATCATATATAAACAGTTCCAGATGTGGCGGCCTGGATGTCTGTGACTCAGTTACTTAGCCCTGGCCTGCTGGTGGGAGACTTCCTGCCTCATGACATCATAGGGTGCAGGCCACAGAGTTCCTCTGGGCCCTTACCCCTCAGGAAACAGGAGCCCCTTCAGAGGTCCTCAAATTCCCAACTTCGTGTCTTATAACCAGGCAGACTTCAAGGCTGCCCTCCCTGTTTGAGGCTCCCAGCATGTAGTGCATATGTTGGGTGTTCCACCCTACACTGCCCCAGCTGTGCTAGACCCCTGGCTGTGCTCCAGTCAAGCCGTCAGAGCTGCTGAGGCTGACTGGGAGTCAGTCCAGAGCAGCAACAGGAAACCTGGACCCAGAACCGTACTACCCTTCCCATGGTGAGACTCAGCAGTCCTTGGACAGGTGGGGAAGAGGGGCACAGAGAGGAGCAGCAGTTTGTCCTGAGGCACACAGCCTGGAAAGGCAGAGTGGAGTTTAACACAGGTACTCATAGTGTTCAACTGGTCCCTACCCTTCCCTTTCAGCACTGTAGCCGCTGACAGATTCAGAGGTGGTATTCCAAAATTCTTTTGGGGTTTTATGGTAGCGCAGAAACATGAGAAAGAGTCACGAAAGATGGCTAGGTTGAGCCTGGGGGGCTAACTATGTGGAGAAGAATAACACTGCAGCATGGGGAACCGAGATCACACCCCACCCAGCTCTGTAGTGGATGGCTGGGGTTTGCTGGCTGACATCCTAGCTCCTGGTTTAGTATAATATTGTCTCAAGAAAGTAGCCATTTTCTCGCTTCTCCCCCATCATGTGCATATACCACACACACAGAAGATGTCCAGGTGAAGGCCTAAGGCTAGGGCTCAGTTGTTAGAGCTTTGCCTAGTGTGCACAGGGGCTGGTTCATCCTAATACTGCATGACCTGGGAGTGAGGTGGTTTGGGAGGCAGAGGCAGGAGGATCAGGAATTCAAGGTCATCCTCAGCTGTATAGCAAGTTGGAGGCTAGCCTAGGCTATGTTGAGACTTTGTTTTTGTTTCGTTTTAAGTCTAAATAGTGCAGAAAGTCCCCACAGAGAGCTGACTTTATCTGCAGCCTTACCTAGATCCCCTGCACTGTGTCCCTGGACAGCCAGCCTCTTACTCTGAGCAGACGGAAAAGGAAGAGTTCTGTGAGCGGATTGAAGAGGCTTTGACTTTGGCCACTGCTGTCAGTCACGTGACTGGGAGTTGTAAAGAAGCTGGCTGGCTCAGACCTATCATGGCTGCTACTTGGGAGGCTGAGACAGGTGGATTGGAACTTAAAGAGGTTCTGGGTAACTTAATGAGCCCTGTCTGAAATGAGAAGAAGAGGGCTGCCTGAGTGGCCCAGCAGTAGAATGCTTACCTATGAGTGCATTCCTGGGTTCCATCGCCAGAAATTAAAAAAAAAAAAAAAAAGGCTTGGGTTGGCTTCAGTGGTAGTGCTTGCCTGGCATGCACGAAAGCCTGGGCTTGATTCCAAGCATAGAGTAAAGAAAGAGAGACAGTGACTCACAAAGCCAGTGATACTTCTATGGCATTGGTGCCCCGGCACCAGCTTCCCAGGTATGCCGCCTGAGGTGGCCTCTTGGTGCTTCAGACTCCTTCCCTGTGAGTGGGATTGTCACCATAACTCAGTGGTGTGAACCAGATTCTGTCAAGAAGTGGGGAGGACCACCTGGGATTGGAGTTAGGGCTGAGCAGTTTGAGCACCCACTGCTTGTGTTCTCTAGATGGGGAACAGAATTGACAGGCATCCGTCTAGGAGCTGCTGGGAGACCTTAAGAAGGCAAGGAGGAGGCCATGTAGGGTGTTAGGACAGAAACATCCTGGACAGAGGCCTTGGACATATATGAGACCTGGAATTTTGAGGAACATTCAAGTGAGCAAGGGGATGGCAGTTCTCATCACACCAAGTCAGGTGTTGGAAGTAGCTTTCAGGTGATTGAAGGCTCTGCCCTGTCAGCCCAGGTGAGGCTTCTACCCTCTCTCCTCAGGAGAAAGAGAAGAAGTACATGCTGCCACTGGACAACCTAAAAATCCGGGATGTGGAGAAGGGCTTCATGTCCAACAAGCACGTGTTTGCCATCTTCAACACGGAGCAGAGGTGAGGAGCCTGCAGGGGTGGGGTCCCAGGAGATCTTAGTGGCAACCTTGTGCACAGGTTTCCAGAGTCCTGTCCTGGGGGTAGTTTTGTGTGGTGAGGTGAGGGCAGAGCACCATGAATACAGACGATTGAAACGGATGAAGTAAGTGTGAGGACCAGTCCAACCCTCCCACACACTCACAGGGAGAAGACTGGTACAGTCCTGGGGGGAGAAACAGGAGGGCCCCTGGGGGTCTCTAGCCCGTCTAGCCAGGTCTGTAAATGTCAGGCCAGTGAAACAGACCATGTCTCAAAGAGGGAAGGTGCATAGAAAGTGAGGAAGGCACCATGCTGATTCTAGCCTCTACCTGCACATGGATCTCTTGAGTTCGAGGCTAGCCTGGTCTACAGATAGAATTTCAGGACAGCCAGGGCTCCAGAGAAACCCTGTCTTGAAAATCCGGGGTGGGGTGGGGGACAAAAGTGAGGCAGTCTGGACAGCAGGAGCCGGAGACATCCCCGTCAGAAACAGCTTACTCATTCCCTTTCCCTTGCTGGTGGCCCAGGCTTTTCCCCCTGCCTAGGGATTGCATGGTGTCGTGTGCCACTCTACTGAGTTTGAGTCTCCTCACAACAGTGAGCTTGTGCTCCACAGGCAGACCTGTGTCAAGTTGATAATACAGAGACAAAATAACTGAGCTCAAATACCAGGTTGGAATGACAGGCATGGTGGCACACAGGAGCCTGAGGCAGGACGTTCTAAGTGTGAGGCTGGCGTTGGCTGTGTAGCAAGCCCTGCCCTATAAATAAGTGACAAGCTGTCAACACTTCTGCCATATTCACTTGCTCTGATGATAGTGTGTGTGTGTTTGTGGTACTTGGTGCGCTAAAGTATACATGTACACACACCCAGAAGCCCTATAACAAACTGGGGACGGTACCCTTATGCCTAGGTCCCATAGGGCCCAGACCCCTGCTTTTAGTGGTCAGCCAAGTCCCTTTCTACCGCCTACTCCAGGAATGTCTACAAGGACCTACGACAAATCGAACTGGCTTGTGACTCCCAGGAAGACGTGGACAGCTGGAAGGCTTCGTTCCTGCGAGCTGGGGTCTACCCAGAGAAGGACCAGGTAAGGAGCTAAGTTCCCTGCATAGATGACATACCAGAGGCTGCCTGGGAGAAGGGACTAGTCATTTCTAGGCCACAAGTGTCAGTGGTAAAAATTTTCTTTGCTGGGCTGGAGAGATGGCTCAGTGGTTAAGAGCATTGAGCATTGCCTGCTCTTCCAAAGGTCCTGAGTTCAATTCCCAGCAACCACATGGTGGCTCACAGCCATCTGTAATGGGGTCTGGTGCCCTCTTCTGGCCTTCAGGCATACACACAGATAGACTATTGTATACATAATAAATAAATATTTTTTAAAAAAAATTTTCTTTGCTGTGGTAAAAATACCCGCCAGAGTCTATGGAAATGGCTTAGACGTTTGCACTACAAGCATAAGGACCTGCGGTCAATCCCTCGAACTCACATAAACAACAACCAAGTGTGGTGGTGCGTGCTTGCAGTCCTGGTGCTGGGGAGGCAGGGAGAGGCGGACTCGCCACATCAGTACCCCTGGTCCTGGTGAGAGACTTGTCTCAAAAAGTAACTCTGGTTCTTCCCAGTGAGTTTATCTATCCTGGCAGTGATCGAGGTTCAGAGGCAGGAAAGGGGAAGATGTGACAGGGCTAGGTGTCTCCAGGGATGCAGCCTCCAGCTAAGCCACACTTCCTGAAGGTTCAAGAGCTTCACAAATGCAGTGCTGTTATAGAAATATGGCTCAGCAGATAAAAGACTGGCCACTCTTCGAGAGGACCCGTTCAGTTCTCAGCACCCACATTACAGCTTACAGCTGTCTGTAACTCCATTTCCAGGGGATCTGACACCCTCTTCTGGCCTCTGTGGTCACTGCACACATATGCCATATACACGTATCAACATTGATGTACACATAAATGAAAATAAGTCTTAAAAATTACAGCAGCCCCTGGAACCCAAGGTACCAACACCTGAACCCTAGCATCCCGTAGTAAAACCATAACTCAGAACACATAGCTGACACCCACTGGAGCAAGCAAGGCAGAGTGTGCATATTTTGTCATTAGAGTCCAGAAGGTTCTCTAGCAGAATCCATGGCCTGAAAGGCAGGTGGACTTGGTACTCATCTTGTCTTATTTCCTCCTTTCCTTGGGGTGAAGTCACTACAGAATCCTGGTGTGTATCCCCATCCCCTGGGAAGAGTCCAGCCTGACTTTCAGTATACCCCAGCACAGACCAACTGTTCTAACAGCACTGTCAGGAACCCACTTGAGAGGGGTTGGCTGTCAGCAGGGTAGGCACATAGTTCCAAGAGCATGTAGTTCTTAGCTACGGCTGCTCGGCCTGCTCGGCTGTGCTCACCTTCTCTGTGTCCCGTGCAGGCGGAGAATGAGGATGGAGCACAAGAGAACACCTTCTCCATGGACCCGCAGCTTGAACGGCAGGTAGAGACCATCCGGAACCTGGTGGACTCCTATGTGGCCATCATCAACAAGTCCATCCGTGACCTCATGCCAAAGACCATCATGCACCTCATGATCAACAATGTAAGTGGGAAGTTCTAAATTAGCCAAGGTCTTAGCTTAGGCTTGGTGGGCTGGACATCCAGCCGCAGCACCACAGAAACAGGCATTTTGTAGTACACCTGTCAGCCCAGCACCGGAGTGTAGAGGCCGGAGGATCAGAAGTTCACCTTCATCCTCATCTACATAGACACTTTGAGGGGATCCTTGATTATTTAAGACCCTGTCTCTAAAACCAAAACCAAGGCAAGCAAGGTGGCTCAGAAGATAAAGGCACTTGCCCTGGAACTTTCCAGTCCACAAAGCTGTCCTCTGACATGCACACCATGACGCACACATACACACACACACACACCAGACTAATAAATAAATAAGTAAATAAAATTAATTTAAGAACAAATTAGGAGCTGGAGAGACGACAGTTAAGAGCACTGGCTGCTCTTTCAAAGGTCCTAAGTTCAATTCCCTACAACCACATGGTGGCTCACAGCCATCTATAATGAGATCTGATTTTCCTCTGGTGTGCATGAAGACAGCACTCATATACGTGAAATACATGAATAAATAAATCTTTAAAGAAAACAACAAAATATTTCAAAATAAGTCCTTCAAAGTTAGAACAAGTTAGTTTGTTTAGGTGGCTTTTTGTTTTTGTTGTTGGGTTTTCTGTTGTTGGTTAGTTGCTTTTTGTAAGGTTGGGGATTGAACCCAAAGCATGGTGCATGTTAGGCAAGCTTTGGATTATTGAGCTGCACCTCTACTCCGCCATTAGGGGAATCTAGGCAGGGGCTCTACAGCTGAGCCACACCCCTACTTCTCACTGGAAGGTTGATTTTAGGCAGAGTTTCTATGGCTAAACCTTAGCCTGTGATGGATGTTTTTCTAATCACATTAGGCTTCTGAGCTCTTGGCTAGTGTAAGGGTCTGATCTCTCCCACCATTGTCCTCAGACAAAGGCCTTCATCCACCATGAGCTGCTGGCCTACCTGTACTCATCAGCAGACCAGAGTAGCCTCATGGAAGAGTCAGCAGAGCAGGCTCAGCGTCGGGACGACATGCTGCGCATGTACCATGCGCTCAAGGAAGCACTCAACATCATTGGGGACATCAGTACCAGCACCGTATCCACGCCTGTACCCCCACCTGTTGATGACACGTGGCTCCAGAACACCAGTGGACACAGGTCTGGAGAGCAGTTTGTCCCCCGTTGTGCCCATACAAGCTCCACCCTTCTGTTCCTCGGTCCTATCAGGAGATAGGTCACAGCTGAATGAGACAACACACAGGCCTGAGAACCTGTCCTGCCTAAAGCCACTAGGGGAGCCATGGCCTCCAAAGGCCAATCTGAGCCACATCGTTGGAGGAAAACATCCTAAGTCTCCACAGCCCAGGGGACAGCTACCACAGAGGTCGTTCTCCTAGACATAGCGAAGGGCACAGGGGAAGATTAAGGCAAACAGAGCCCTCTAGCCCATAGAACCTAGGATTCCATAGCCTCAATATGGGAAGCATGGGCCAGAGAGACATCTAAGCAGCCACAGTCAAGGGAATGTCAGAGCATTGGACCTACTGAAACTTCAGGACGCTGGATCCTGAAGAGGACCAGAGCCCAGACCTGGGAAGACTGAGGTCTCTAGGACCAGTGGGGAACAGGGCAGACAGGTACCTCACAGATAGAGGCTCTGGAAGGGTCTTGGGCTGTACAGCAGTCTGGACACACCTCCCTCAGAGCTGTCCTGTCAGGACACAGCAACCCTAGTAACCTGGAATGCTGTAGCTCAGGCTGGTGGCTCCCGGGGCTCTGCCCTCGTTGCATTCGCTTACAGGGGGTGTTCACAGTATGATTCCTCCAGCTTACAGCCTCTCCCTCCTCCACAGCCCCACTCCACAGCGCCGACCTGTGTCCAGCGTGCACCCACCGGGCCGGCCTCCTGCCGTGCGGGGTCCCACACCAGGGCCTCCCCTGATTCCTGTGCCTGTGGGGCCTGCAGCCTCCTTCTCAGCCCCCCCCATCCCATCCCGGCCTGGACCACAGAATGCGTTTGCCAACAATGACCCTTTCTCAGCGCCACCTCAGATACCATCTCGGCCAGCACGGATTCCCCCTGGTATCCCTCCAGGAGTGCCCAGGTAAGGCCCACAGCCTGCATCCTGGGGTTCCTTTGTTGACTCTGACTGCCTCCATTCTGATGACTTCCAGTGTAGCCCCAACAAGACATCGAGTAGTGCAGGCATTGCTGCTTGTGTGCTGAGAAACTGAGCCCTAGAGGGGCCATTCCCACTTAGCCAGTGCCATAGGACAATGGATCAGCTGACCTCAGGGCTCCTGGCCTGTCCTCTAAGCAGCAGGTTTCATGTCCCCCTAACCCTAGGTTATCACTAATACCTGGTCAGCTAGGTTCCGGTCTCCATTTCTGAGGTCCGAGGAGGGCAGGGAAGTGGGCAAGATGACACATCTGGTAAAAGTGCTTGCTACCAAGCCTTGTGACCTGAGTTCAGTCCCCAGACCCCTCTTGGTGAAGGAAAGACCAGCTCCTCCTAAGGCCCAGAACTTGCCTGTGCTACCCAAGCCAGCTAGTGACATGGAGATACCAGGAAAATACCTGTAATACTCCTCCTGGCGCCCCAACTTTGGGAGCACCTGGGGTGGGCTGGATGGGTGGGGTCCTCATCCTCACCCTGCGTCTGGCCTCACTGCCCTCCACCTCCCCATGTCTTACTCTCTTTGCAGCAGAAGAGCACCCGCTGCGCCCAGTCGGCCTACCATTATCCGCCCGGCCGAGCCGTCCCTGCTTGACTAGGCTGCAGGGGGCAGTGTTCTGGGGGGTCCTCGTGCACCCACAGTGCAGGAGAGCTTTGGTTTGGGCCCCACTACTGCCCCCCTCCCATGGTGGGACCAGGCTCCTGTGGGCAACCCCTACCCTTTCCTCCCTAGCCTGGTGGACATGACAATGAGGGGGTGGGTGGGGTCCCAGACAACAGGACATGGGGGCTTTGTACTTTGGGTTGAGGAGAACTGTCTGGTTGGCAGTAGGAACTGCATCCTTGGGACCATCTGGAAAGAAAGATCCAGGCTGGTGTAGGGGAATTCTACCAGGGGCTTCTCTACAGGCTGTAAGCCTTTGTTCTTTCTTGGGGTACAGCAACTGTCCAACTTTTCCTAAGGGCTCTTCATCAGGAGTGAGCCAGACCCAACAGACCCAGTGCTGGCCACCTACCTGGCTCAAGTTGTATATATATATCTTCTTTGGCCATATTAACCACACAACCTGAACCCAGCCCAGTCTCGATAGCCAGAGGTGCCTTTGTGCCTTCCTCAGGCCTGGAGCACCTCAGCTCTGGCCTGCCTCACTCTCCTCAGCCCCCGTGTGGTTTGGGCTGTGTGAACTGGGGAAACATCGGGGGCCTTCTGGTTCCCAGCTGGCCCATCCCCACAGGGTGGGCCTGGTGCCTCTGCAGATCCTGTCCCCACTGCTTGGTTTGACCACTGTTAAGTGCCTGCCTCTGTATATCCTATTAATAAACTAAAATAAAGGGAAGCCCCGCTGGTGGCTATGTGTGTGGGCCTTTTGTGTCTGTCCCAGGCCAGGGGGAGACTGTCCACACTTCCCTCAGTTACATGTGTCTCCTGTCATTTCTTCTCAACACCTCTCTACCACTTCGGGAATAGGACCCCCTCTCCTGGTGCTCATAGGGAACAGAAATTCTAGCCACTACCCCGAACGGCACTGTGGCCAGGTCCACTTCCAGGTCCCCCGTCAGCTCTATAGGGGACATGGTTCAACTTTGCTTTATGATTTTTTTCTTTCGTGCCAGGCGACCACCTCCATCGGCTCCTGCCCGGCCTTTCTTCTGAGCTTCGTGGGAGTGCCCTCCCGCCTTCCTGGCTGCCTGGCTTGAGGCTAGGTCTGTCCCAAGCTGCTGTCCCTGAGCCCAAGTCACCAGGCACTATTAATTTTTCTGACCATAATTTATTGACCCCAGTGCCCAGGACAGATGCCCTTTGTTCCTTGAGTCTTGTAGGTAGACTCTGGTGGGCTGCACCCAGAGAGAAGGAAGGGTTCCTCTTGGAGTTCTGGCATCAGTCCCCCAGCCAGCTGGCTCCCACTGGGCCGAGGAGCCAGGGCTCTTTCCTATCAAATAAAAGTGACTGTCCTGGCAAGAACTCTGCAGGTGTGTCTCCTTCCCAGACCCTAGCAAAGTAGGCTTATCCCCAGGAGCGAGCAGAGACATTACGGGTGGGGTGTGTCCAGCTGGGGTAAGGGCCAGGGGCAGCTGCACAGCTTGACCCATCCTGATGGCTGGAAGACTTAAGCTAAGGCACGATATCAGGAGAAACCAGGGCATCTGTGAGCCGTATAGCCCCACACCGCTGCGCCTAACACTTCAGCTTCCGACGAACAGGCACTGGTGCTGAGCTTCCCCATCCAAGGGGTCTGCAATCCACTTGCACTCCCTGCTCACCCAGGAAGGGCTGGATACACGGGGTCCTCTCTGAGTCTGGGGAGGTCTCCACAAGTCACACAGGCCTGATGGCCTCCTCTGTTTGACTCATCCTCCGTGGCCGGGGCTACGTGGGTACAGGACGCTTGTCGTGGAAGAAGCGCTTGAGTGTGCAGACCTGCAGGACGGCCACCAACAGCAGCACAGCCACATTGGCAGCTGACCAGAAGTTGACCCGCTCCAGGTTGTCTTCCTGAAGGTTCCGATCACGTGCCTCAAAGGCTCGTAGCAGAGTCAGCATCTGGATGCTCCGTTCCAGCCGGGTCCTCATCGTCTCTATGGATTCCTGCCAAGTCACAGAGAGGACAGGGTCAGGCTGCCTAAGCCAAATCCTCACTCGTGCCATTCACTGCCTGTGTGACTGTCAGCAAGTTAATTTGCCTCTCTGGTCTTATGTCTCACATCCTCTCCTAGAAACCCAGTATTTTTTGTTTTTTCCATTTTTCCCCATGATGTTTTCTTGTCTGTTTTTAGGTAAGGCCTTTTTTTCTTACAGGTCAGAGGGTGCACATACTGTGCATTCATGTGGAGGTCAGAGGACAGCTTGCAGGGATCAGTTCTCTCCTGCCACTGTGTGGGTCTCAGGTAGTTAGGCTTGGTGGCAGTTGCCTTTGCCTGCCTGCTAAACCATTTCACCAGCCTTTAAAATAGGATCTTTTGTGTCAAAGGCTGGTCTTTATATGCAAGTCAAGGGTGGCCTTGAATTTGTGATCCTCTTGTATCCAAGTGTAACCCATACTGGTGTTATGGAGGGCTGGGTGTAGGAACTTCATGCGTCTTAGGGTATCACTCTACCAACTGAACTGTCCCTAGCCCTTTTGGTTTTGTGAGATGGGTTCTTGCTATAGCCCAGGTTGGTCTTGAACTCACTGGAATGCTGCCTCAACCTCCTGAGTGCTGGGATTACAAGCATGCACCACCACACTCAACTCACCTTGATGTCTTCCATTTTGACATCAAGCATCTCCTCTGGCTCCACAGCCTCAGCCCAACCTTCCACCTCTTCCTCATCCTGGAAACTGTCAAAGATGAGCTCGAAGAACACTAGCTTCTCTGAGATGGTACTGAAGGAATTGTCAAAGCATAGCCTGTAGTCCCCGGCCTCAGTAGGCTCCACCCTGGGCAGACAGATGAGACACAGACATGACCCTGGAGTGACCAGCCAGCTGGTCTGTGGAGCCAGTAGGATGGTAACCCGAGGCCACTGGGGAGCTGCAGGGCTGTAACTGAACCAAGACAGGGCAAGACTTCACTCACGTGTGCACCCCATCAGCCTTTCGAGACTCACTGACCAACAGCACACCCTGAGGGCTCTCCAAGGTGAAGTCCACATCCAGCCCCGCACCTCCAATCACCTGAAGAGCAGGTAAGAGTTGGGGAATGGGCAGGTTTGAACCCAGCCTATCTTCCACAGAAGGACTGGGTTGAACCGAACTGGAAAATACCCATACAACCACTAGGAGCCTATCTTCAAAACAAACTATGTATGTTGGGGGTAGGAGGATCGCCTGTGGGGATCATAGGGCAGCATGCAGGAGTCAGTTCTCAACCTCCACCATAGTTAGGAAACTCGGGACATCGGGTTTAGTTTAGCTACGAGTTCTTTTACCCATTGAGCCATCTCGCTGCCCTAAGGGCCTATCTGAGCACCGACATCCGCACCTGCAAGGTTCCTTCCTGGTCCCTAAAACGTTCCACGCGAGGTCTTTCATCAAGCCACCCCACCACCCCCTTTAGCAGTCCAAGGTGGGTGTCTACCTGGCTGCAAATATATAGTGGTCGCTGACCCTCTAGCCACCAGGGAATTACCCTGAATCCTACCTACCCAAAGAGCTTCCAGCTAGGAACTCCCCTAGCCCAGGAGACCGTAGGCATCCCGGTCACGCCCACTCCACGCCCCTCCTGCTGGCCACACCCCCTTGTCCTACGACGCGTCCCGAGCCCCGGACCTTCTCACCTGGTACTCGGTCTCTAAACTAGCATTGGCCGGCGCGGACTGGTAAAAGCATTGCTTCCTCCCTGCGGGAAGCAGAAATGTAAACTCGCCGTCCTGAATGGGCGGCGGCCCCGCCTCTCCCACTCCTACTGCTGGCAGGAGTAGCCACAGGGCCAGGGCTATGGCCGCGCCGGCCGCCATCATCCGTATCACGTTCTACGCTACTCACAGGATGCGGGTCCTTTAAGCACTGGTCCCGCCCACCTCTCATTTCGGCAAAGGTCATTGGCTGGAGCCTACGTTTGGCCCCAAACCCGCGGAATGCTGTGTGAAGGGTCCCAAAGAGGGGAGCTGCCCGGACGAATGCCTAATCTGTTAGAAAGCACACTAACGCTGACTAGAATTTTGTGAAACTTCTCCGTATCTGTTATTAACCACGGGAGTTGGGGATGGGGGAAATGACAGGCCTGAAATGATGAAGCAATTTTTCAGGCAAAAATTAAGATGACTAAACGGGGAGGTTTGCGGGTCCTCTGTGGCACCGCCTGCCGTCCTCCCTACTCCAGTGCAAGTCTCGTGTCGCCTATTGATCAGGCTGGTGTAGGCGAAACCCGTCAGTGGTGGGTCCTGGGTTGGATCCCGATCGGGATGTGTCCATCAAAGCTCTGCGGCGACCGGCCGGGTGCTGGCGGTACTCCGATGTTAGCTTCTGGCGAGCTTGTTCCTTGAGCATGGCCTCCCCAGACTCAACGCCAGCTCTGCTTCCTCTTTATACCTTACATCATCGCTTTAGAAGGATTTTGGTCTCCTTAAGTTGGGGGTGCTTGTTAGGTGGTGAGCGCAGAACACGCCCTCACTCTATCCAATTAGTCTCAAACCTTTGGGCCTAGAGGTCCTAGTGAGTTCGTGCTGACATAAGCCTCAACTCTAGCATTTGGGAAACTGAGGCAGGAGTTCTGAGGAGTTTGAATTGGAGGTCATCCTCCCTCGTGTGCATGGATAGTTCCAGACTAGCACGCTTTACGAAGGATCTATTTGGCCTCGAGATACTCAGAGGATAAAGGTCCTCGCTGCTAAACCTGATTACCTCAGTTCAATCCCTAGGACCCACGTGGTGGAAGGATAGAACTGACTCTCACAAGTTAGTTGTCCTCTGACTTCCATGTACACACATCACACACACTCACACATACACACGCACGTGCGCACCACTGTGTTGGTTAGTTTTTATCCACTTGACACAAATCTGGCAAAAGGGATTCTCACAGGAAGAATTGCCTTGCGGGCATTTTCTTCATTGCTACCTGAAGCCGGAAGGCCTAGCCCACTATGCAGGTGGTATACCAACCCTAGGCAGGTGGGTATTGGCTGTTTAGGTTTAAGTAATTTGACCAAGCGGTGGTGGTGCACGCCTTTAATCCCAGCACTCAGGAGGCAGAGGCAGGCGGATCTCTGTGAGTTCGAGGCCAGCTTGGTCTACAAGAGCTAGTTCCAGGACAGGTTCCAAAGCTACAAAGAAACCCTGTCTCAAAAAAAAAAAAAAAATCTTTAAAAATTTGAAATTAAACTAAATTCTACACAACTGGAAACACTGTCTCAAATAAAATGCTCTAAAATAGCACACCTTCCTGCCCCCCCACACACATGTGCAGCTGCAAACCAAATTTGAAATTAAATTAAATGCACAAGAAATTAACAGAATGAGATACTAAAAACTTAGCCCGGTTGTCGTGGTGCACACCTTTTATTCTATCATACAGGAGACAGACAGGTGGACCAGTGTAGAAAGGTAAACAGCCCTACTACAAACCCATCGATCTACACTGGTGATTTCTGCCTGCGAGATAAGCTGGCGTAATCATAGCACAAAACTTGTGGGTGTAACTAACTACTTTATGGTTGGATTTAAGACCAGTTCCAAGAGATGAAGCCCACACTCAGATGACCTAGAACTTGCAAGTAGATAGGCCATGGGCCTAGTAGAAAGCCAAATACTACTGTTCTGCTAAAAAGAATGTAGCAACAAAGCAGCTCCTAATTACATCCTTCTGTACCCATAGATCACTCAGTTACGCCATCAGCAGAGACGCTTCCTGCTACAGAAGATGGGAACAAG